TTCTCCTCCTCCTCCTCATGTCCCTGCTGCCTTGGTTGCTCCCCTCTGGGCTTTCAGCACTCGCTCCACACTTCTCACATCTTTCCAAGAGCTGTGACTGAACATGGACCTGCACTTTCATCTGCAGCTTTGCCATCATGGATGAAATCCTGGGAACAGCTACCCTGAAACTGGGGGCTGCAGCATCTCAGGGCACCCCGGTGACATTTGCTGTGGCACACATGGGCCATTAGCCAAGGACACCCAAAGGCCCCTCTGGGGGCTCAGCTGCTGGCCACACAACTCCTTCCTCTCCAGTGAGGCTGTCACACACCGGTGAGGGGTGTCAGACTGTGGGAGCCTGGTTTCTTGGCAAACCTAGGTGAAACACTCATCTCTCCATTTCCTAGGTGCTCTCCAAGAACTCTCTGACTGCTTGTCCCAATGTTCCCAGCAGCCAGAAGCTGAGATGATGTTAGACACATTGGTGAGACACAGTCCCTACACATAAGACCAAAACAAAACAAAGCTAAAATAGGAGGATTCAGGAAGAGCTGGAAAGCTGGCTTGCAGGCAGGTCCACGGCTCTGAGGGAAACACATGTGGGGCACCCCTGGCAGGGGTGACCTACAGCTCCTCTCTCCACTGGCAGGGCAGAGTGATTCTTGGCAGAGCTGCCAGGCTCCCTCTGTTTTCCCAGCAGGTCTGATCCGGCACAGGCAGCCAAGGCCCTCACCTTGGTGAAGGGAACTGGTCTGTGTGTGAGATGACCAGACCACCCTGGTACCACCTCCCAGACCACGATTTGGTGTCAGCACACGGAGTTCAGGTAATGCTGGGGCAGGAACTTACCAAGGACCTGCTCTGCTGCAAATGTTGCTTTTGCCACCTCAAGATGCCATCCAGGCTCTCCCTGGACACTGAGACAGCCCAGCTTTGGGAACCAGGTGGGGTTTGGGTTCCCACTGCTGTTTGGGAGTGCTGAATAACACTGTTCCCTGGGAGCAGAGCCTGACACACTCCCCCCCACAGCTGCACCTTTCTGTCAGGGAAGTCCTCGTGGGACTTACCCTCCAGACCCTTCATCAGCTTCATTGCCCTTCTCTGGACTCGCTCCTGCACCTCCATGTCAGGAAGAATTGAGGGGCCCAGAACTGGACACAGAACACAAGGTGTGGTGTGGCCTCTCTTCCCACAAGCTTGGGAAAGGCAGGACACTGCTCAAAGGACAACCTCAGGGTCCTTCCAGGAAGCAGCTCCAGCTCCTGACCAGAGCCACCCACCACTGGAGGTTAAAACCACCACTGCACTGAGGAGGTCACACAGTCCCCAGGTGTTTCCCATGTCTAGATGTAGGGAGGGATGGAGGTCCCTTGGACCACCCATTCCCAGGTGTGTCCTTTGGGAGCCCTCTGGATGCTCAGGTCATGCTGGACCTCTCTTCTCTTAGTGCATGGAGCCCATCTGTGCTGTCCCAGGCAGGCTCTGCTCTGGAGATGCCACAGGGACAAGGCAGCACTGGCTTTTCTCCTGCCAGTGTTCCCATCCCATATTTCGGTTGTCTCTCCAAGAGCTGCTCCTGTCCCCGCAGGAGCTGGGACACACAGAGCAGAGTGGTACTGCTGGTACTGCCCCTCTGCCAGGGGGTGCTGGTTTGGCACCCAGGCTGGGTTGTGCAGAGGTTTCTTCCCCACCGACCAGGGGGTTTGGAGGGGCTCAGGGCTGGGGTCCACAACACCAGCCTAGTGAAGCTGTGCTGCTCCCCAGCGTGTCCACATGGCCAGAGCTCCGGGCTGGGAGCTGAGGCACTGACACATGCTCTTGGGTTTGGGAAAGGCTCAGCTGGCAGCAATACCCAACACACCCACCTCAGCACAAGAATAAATCTAGAGGGGAGATTTTCATCTTTGCTAGAGTGTGTTCCAGCATGGAAGAGTGTTGGTCTGAGACTTGAGGAGCCTCTGGCCTCATGCCAGGGAATGGCAGGGACTCCATGGCACGCACGGGGCAGGGCACAGGTGTCAGGGTCTGTCCCCTCCAGCCGTGCCAGTGGGTGGAGGATCCAGCGGGATTTCTCCAAGGTGGATGCTCCCAGGAGTTCTGTGTGGCCACAGGCAGGTGTGTCAGAGCTGCACGCTGCTGGCTGCCAGGGCAACGGCCCCGGAAGGTTTGTTTCAGGATTTGGTGGCCCTGGGCACCGTGGGTGATTCCTCTGCACCAGGCACAAGTCCTGGCAGGGGACACGGCTGGTCCCGACTGACGGCAATCCCCCCCTCCCCTGGCACCCCCATCAAGGCAGCACTCCAAGTGCCATTGTGTCACTCTTATGTCCCCAAATGCCCTGGCAGGGTAATGCCTTACCTCGGAGGAGCAGAGCTGGGACACGTCGACCACTGGCTTTTCCCCAAGGCAGCTGCAAAACGCTGTAAGAGCTGCTTGCAGGGGATCTGGGCAGCACAGGGGGGATGTGGCACTGTGTCCCCATGTCAAACACCACGCCCTGCTGACAGGGCTGGTGTTAGTTTGGGGCTGATGGTCCTGCCAGGGTTGGGCAGCAGGAAACATCCCCGTTCCTGGGCAGCGTCGCAGCAGGCTGAGGGATGTGTTCATCTGTTTGATCTTCTTTGGTTTTGATGAGCCCCTTCCTTAGTTTATTAATTAGCTGGTGGTTGGGAGCTGTGGGAGTGTCCAAAGGCACCGCTGGTCCCCAGGGCCACTCAATGAGTGTCCCCTCCTGACTCAGAGCTTTGCTGCTCATCCTGCTCCTCTGGGTGTCCCCCACCAGCTGCAGCTCCTGTTCCTCAGCCCTGGCAGCAGACACTGTACCCTGCCAGCCCCAGCTGTGCTCCCCTCCCACCTCCATGGCCCCCACCCAGCCCTCCCCCTCCCCAGCCCCACAGCAGTGCCCCTGTGGCTCGTCTGACACAGCTCTTGTGATGGCAGGGGATGGACACCCGTGGCCTGTGCACTCGGGTGACTGGGCGCATTGTGGGCACAACCACGTCACGGGGACACTGATGTGGGTGAACTCACACTGGTGTGAGGTGGAGGTGACAAGGAGCAGTTGGACACCTCCTCCCAGGTGACATGTCCTTGGCCCAGGTGAGCAAATGGCTCCCAGTGGCGTGACCTGAGCACTTGGGGCCATTACGGCTCAGCCTTGGTGACACTGAGCCCTGGGAAACCACATCACAAGGGGAAGGAGGAGGAGCTCCTGTGAGGCAGGTCCCTAAACCTAGGGCCCAGTGCCACCTCAGGGTGCGCAAGTATCACAGAATCACAGAGTATTCTGACTTGAAAGGGACCACAAGGACCATCCAGTCCAGTTCCTGGCCCTGCACAGACACCCCATCAATCCCACCCTGTCCCTCAGAGTGTTGTCCAAACCCTCCTGGAGCTCTGGCAGCCTTGGGGCTGTGCCCACTGCCCTGGGGAGCCTGGTCAGTGCCCAACCACCCTCTGGGGCAAGAACCTTTTCGTGAGATCCAACCTAACTCTGCCCTGACACAGCTCCAGCCATTCCCTGGATCCTATCCCTGGTCACAGAGAGCAGAGATTAGAGCTGCCCCTGCACTGCCCCTTGTGAGGAAGCTACAAACCCCAATGAGTTTCCCCTCAGTCTGAAGTTCAGCCCCTTCTTGAGGCTGAACAAGCCAAGTGATCTCAGATGCTCCTTGTATGGCCCCTCAAGGCCCTTCGCCATCCTCATGTCCCTCCTTTGGACACTCTCTAAGAGCTTCACATCTTTCTCATATTACAGTGCCCAAACTGCCCCCCAGCACTCGAGGTGAGGCTGCCCCAGACCAGAGCAGAGCAGGACAATCCCCTCCTTCAACCAAGGAAGGACTGAGTAAAGGAGGGGTGGTGCTCCTGTCCTGTACTCATCCATGCCCTGGAGCCAGCCCAGGATGGGCCACCTGGAGTCACTGGGAGCCAGGTGCTACCTGAATAGAGGCTAGTGGGAGCAGGTCACACTGAACATCTAACCCCCAGTATGGACCAGTCTGGGCTAAATACGTGTCAGTTTATGGATCCTGCTGGCCCGGGCTGCTGGTTGTCCCACTGCCGTTCCACGACAGCCAGGATGAGCCGGCAGCAGCACCAAGGGACAGCCTCTTTCCAGAGAGAAGAGCAGCAGCCACTGGTCCCGTTGTCATCAGAGGATCTCCTGGGGAGATCAGCCTGACCAATACATCCCTGGTGCCCCTCGGGCCTCTGAGCTGACAGAGCAGTGACACAGCTGTTTATAGGGCAGTTCCTGTCCCTGACCCCACCTGCACAGACCCCAGGGCAGAGGGGAGAGAGGGGAGACTGAGGGGGCAGAGCCAGAGCAGGGCCAGGGAGGCTTCCCCTCCAGCCCTGGCTGGCAGGAGATGTTCTATCAGAGGGAACATCAGCAGAACACACAGGTCTGTGACACACGAGGTGGGAAGGAGCACAGGTTGCTGGGCTGAGGGTGAGGGGCTCATCAGCCGTTCCCAACACCCTTGTGGTGGGAGCTGGACACCAGGGGTGCCAGGGTGTCCCTGGCACTGGGACTTCCCTGTGACACTGGTACCTGACACCTTGATCAACACTTCCACATGGAATACTGAACTCCTGCTCTCTGGGGTCTGAGCACAGTGTTTCACAGCAAAGTCAGGGTTCAGTGACACCCCCCTTCACAACCGGCATCAGCAGTGCATGGTCCTGCCCTTTGCCCTGCCCTCCCCGGCCTCCTACTTCCAGACGTAGGGAATGGAAGCGAAATACAAAAAACATCTGCTAAAAACCACATGTATCAGTGTTCTCCGGCTCACAGCACAGCCCCACAAAACTCTCAGAGAGCTCTGATGGGATGAAGTGCTCAGGGAAGTGAGGGGACAGATGGGAATCAATGAGCTTTGCTGCAGGGCAGGGCAGAGGTCTGGGGGGTATGAAGGGATCTACAGCACCCTCCCACCCTCCAGGCAATTCCTGCTCTCAAAGCGGTAGTTTTAGATACAACTGCTTTCTATGGAAAAAGTTTTAAATGAACCCCAATCCTTCAACGCACTTTTATTTTACAATAAAATAACTGGTACACCGAGCAGCGCTCGCAGGGCAGGACAACACGGGGGCTGGGAGGGCTGAAACAGGAACGCGACACAACGGGAGCTTTTGGGGGAATGTGGTGCTCTGTGGCACGGCAGCGAGCTGGGGCACCGACCAGCCTGTCACCAGCCTGTCACAGCCTGTCGCCGCCCTCTGCACAGGGATAACGCCGAGGGGAGCCTGAGGCCCGGGCCCGCCCCCCCGTCCCCGCGGGGACCCTCAGTTCACACGGCAGGCCCGGATCATGAGCAGCTGGAGAAGGATGAAGACGGGCGACATGATGAGCCCGTACCAGAGCTCCCGCGTGTGCTCCACCAGCTTCTGGCACAGCAGCATCTCGAACACGAACTTGAGGCTGAGGATGGTGAGGATCCAGAAGAGCCGCAGCACCGCCAGGCGCTTCTCGCCGTCCTGGAACAGCCGCACGGACACGATGGTGGTGAAGTAGGTGCTGAGCCCGTCGGCGGCGAAGAAGGGCACGAACACGACCCACCAGGAGAGCGCGGCGGCCGCGCCGTCCACCTTGAGCACGAGCAGCACCGTAAAGGCGAGCAGGGCCAGCGCGTGCAGCAGCAGCTCGAACGTGGCGAAGCCCAACCACTGCACGAGCTCCCGAAGGGAGAACAGCATGGTCCGGGGGGCGCGGGGCAGAGCCGGGGAGCGGCACCGGCCCTGTCCGGGGGCACCGGGCCCGACCCGCCCGGGGCTCGGCCCGCCCGTCGCGGGCGACGCGCGGCGATGACGTCAAAGGGGCGCGGCTGATGATGACGTCACAGGGAGCGCGGAACGGGTGGGGAGTCCCCTCAGCCGCCGTGTGACGTCACGGGAGCGGTCGCACTGTGGTGACGTCACGAGGGAATGGGGCCGGTCCGTGGTGAGTCCGAAGAGCCGGGCATCCTCGGAGATCCCGATCCCTGCGGCCTCTCTGCCCTGGGGACGGGCTGGGAGAGCTGGGGGGGGTTCACCTGGAGACGGGAAGGACCCAGGAGAGCTCAGAGCCCCTTCCAGCGCATAAAGGGGCTCCAGGAGAGCTGGAGAGGGACTTGGGACAGGACAAGGGGGAATGTATTCCCACTGCCAGGGGGCAGGGTTAGATGGGATATTGGGAAGGAATCGTTGGCTGTGAGGATGGGGAGGCCCTGGCACAGGTTGCCCAGAGAAGCTGTGGCTGCTCCATCCCTGGAAGTGTCCAAGGCCAGGCTGGACGGGGCTCAGAGCAACCTGGGCTAGGGGAAGGTGTCCCTGCCCGTGGCAGGATGTGGAATGGGATGAATGTGAAGCTCCCTCCCAACCCAGATCAGTCTGTGATTCTGTGATTTTGTTTTTTATTATTATAATGTGATTTATTGTTAGTATTCTATGGGCACATGGTGACAGCAGCTGTTTGCAGCTCAGACATCCCTCTGGGCTGGATTCCTTGCAGGATTCCCTGTCACACACAGGGCCTTGCTCCTTGGCAGTGTGGCTGAGAGCAGTGTGTGTCTGATCACACCTTTCTCTGTCTCTGAGCTCCAGGCTCTTCCCCAGGCCCCTTCAAGTGAGGGGGATTCATAGGGCAGACAGGAAAGTTAAAACCAGCAATGGGGAACAGCCGATCCCAGGACTGCACTTACCCTGTGGGGATGAGGGCAGTTAAACGAGCCAGGATGTGCATTTTAGTCCCTCCATGCCCGGGCAGTGGGGACAAGGAGCACAGTGTGTCCCTGCTGCTCCTGCAGGCGAGGACACGGCGTTAATCCCTCAGCACTGTGCAGGGCTGGGAAGAGAGCCCACAAGCCTTGTATCCCAATGCTGGATCCCAGCTATTCACACCCCTGGGCTGTTTGCTGTGTCAGCCCCACACATGTCACCTTGACCCCAGTCCCTGGTGCTCCTTTGGGTGGGGTTGGTGCTGCTGGGCCCAGGGCAGGCCCAGCTCTGCCTCCCCAGCCCCCTTTCCCCTCTGTGTGGTGGGTCTGGTTTGTCTTTGCAGATGGCAGAACGGAAGCTCCTCGTTCTCTTTGGCAGCCAGACGGGGACAGCCCAAGATACGGCAGAGAGGATCGGGAGAGAGGCCACGCGCCGGCACCTGCAGTGCAGGGTGGAGGCCCTGGACAGCTGTGACCTGGTGAGATGGGACACACAGGGGACTCTGGGCACTGCTGCTCCTGCTCCATCCCCACCAGCCCTATTTCTGCCACTTGGGCATCCTCCACCCTTGCTGTGATCTGCTGTGTGTCACCAGGGCCTGGCTCTGTGCCCTCCCTGGGGGCAGCTTGTGCTTAACTCAGCTGAAAGGGTGGGCAAAGGGAGCAGGGACTCCTGGGATGGAGTCGCAGACACTCAGCCTTTCCCTGCCAGGTGAGGGGCTGGTGCTGCAGGGAGTGGGTGGGCAGCAGGTGCTGCTGCAAGGCCTATGGAGGAGCTCGTGCCACACAGGGCTGTGGGTTTTATTCCAAGCGTGGTCAGTCTGGGAGCTCATTGTGGTGTGGGCAGCCATGTGGGAACAGCCAGGACACGTATTTCGTAGAATGACAGAAGGGTCTGGGTTGGGAGGGACCTTAAAGATCATCCAGTTCCACCCCTGGCCATGGGCAGGGACACCTTCCACCAGCCCAGGTTGCTCCAAGCCCTGTCCAACCTGGCCTTGGACACTTCCAGGGAAGGGGCAGCCACAGCATCTCTGGGCAACCTGTGCCAGGGCCTCCCCACCCTCACAGCCAACAATTCCTTCCCAATATCCTATCTAACCCTGCCCTCTGGCAGTGGGAAGCTGTTCCCCCTTCTCCTGTCCCTCTATCCCTTGTCCCAAGTCCCTCTCCAGCTCTTCTGGAGCCCCTTTATGTGCTGGAAGGGGCTCCAAGGTCTCCCTGGAGCCTTCTCTTCTCCAGGTGAACACCCTCAGCTCTCCCAGAGCAGTTTGTAGGCTGCTGACCTGGACATGCCTCTCCATGTCTGTGCCCACAGGCCAACCTCATCCATGAGCCACTGGTGGTGTTTGTGTGTGCAACCACCGGCCAGGGAGACCCACCTGATAACATGAAGGTAGGACATATTCCTGTCCATCTTGTTTTTATGTTCCTGATCCAGGGAATTCTCTCTAGAAGCAGCTTGAGCAGTGGTTGTTTTTGGAGGGGGGAGCACCAGTCACCTCTCATGGGACACGAGCAGGGAGCTGGTGAGGGGGCTTTCAGAGGCCACCTCTGCAGGAGTGCTCCCCACTGTGTTGGGGTTCAGGATGGGCCCGATGGGGGCAGAGCAGGGATCTGGGGGCTGGCAGGCAGGGCAGGCTGCCTGGGCAGCAGCAGGACTCCCCAGCCGTGTCCTCCGTAGATGTTCTGGCGGTTTCTGTTCCGGAAGAACCTGCCGCCCGGGTCCCTGTGCCAGCTGGACTACGCCGTGCTGGGCCTTGGCGACTCGTCCTACCCCAAGTAAGCAGCTCTGCAGCTCCTGGATGGCTGCTCTCACAGCTCTGGCTGCGGGAGGGACCAGAGTGGCTGGAGAATGGAGGGGGTGGGGGAAGACAGAGCCTGACTCTGGATGAAATGAAATGAAATTCCCACCAGCCTTAAAAATCCTTGCTCTACCAGCCTGTGTCCCTCCCAAATCCCAGGAATTAGGCTTCTGCCCATTTCTTCCCCCCCAGCCTCTCCAAGCAGGTCCTTTGCTGCAGTGGGTCTGACATCAGGTGTCAGTCATTTATTGCAGCTGTTCAGTTTTCCATCTGAACTGCAGGGAAGCAACTTTGTGCCACAGCACAAGCTGTGCCACTTGGCAGTGGGCCAAGGCAACAGGAGACATCAAACACAAGTGGCAGCCAGCCTTGTTGGTACCAGTTCTATCCCAAAAGATTGTTCCCATGTGCCTGAAAGAGCTGTGGAGGGAGGGGTAGGTGTGCCAGAGCTCCATGGGGCACATGGGGCAGTGAGGGGCTGGAGTGAAGGAAGTGTTCTGAGTCCCTGAAGGGAAGCAGGACCTCCATAAGTCCCTTCTGGAAGCTAGGCACAGCCCGTGAGGCCCAGCAAGTGGCAGGCAACTGCTCCTGTGAGCTGCCCTAGGTTGGGGCACAGACTGGGCAGGGCACAGGCCAGGTTGTGTTGCTGCCTCTGTGCTGCTCCTGTGGCCCTGGCAGCAGGTGCTGGCTTCTGTGGGCACTGCCTGCTGTGCTGCTGGAGCAGCCCTGCCTTCACAGCTGTGTTATTCTCTGCTTAGGTTTAATTTTGTTGCAAAGAAGCTGCACAAACGGGTGCTACAGCTTGGGGGCAACCCGCTACTACCAGTGGCCTTGGGAGATGACCAGCATGATCTGGGGTAAGAGCCATGGGGAGGTGTGGCAGGGGGAGCCCCGGGGTGCACTGCAGCTCTGTCCTTGGGCTGCTGGCAGGGCTCTGTGTGCTTTACACACAGCCCTGCTGTGCCTGGGGAACGGCAGCGTGCTGCTCCCACCACGGGGCTGCTCCAGCAGCTCTGTGAACGTGCTGATATCTGCTCATAACACTTCTGTGCCAGAACCTGGGTCACCTGCTTCTCCGGGGTGTCCAACGACCCCCGGGATGTGCCAGCATTTCCTGGCTCAGCCACAGTCCTCTTCAGAGCGGGGGGTGGCTGTGTCACACAGCCACGTGCCTGCAGCAGCCTGACCTGTGCTCACCTAGCATGGGGCAGAGGCTCTGTGTGGCTCAGGGAATTGGTGATGGCCACAGGTGGTGCTCAGGGGGCTTGTGCTTCTGTTCAGGTGTCAGTGGTTGGGCCCCAGAGAGCAAGTGAATGCTTAGAGTGTCTGAGACATGTTTCCTCTCAGACCTGAAGCTATAAGGGAACAGCCTGGGGTGACTGTGCAGTGCAAGGGGAGCAGGGCTGCCCCAGCATTGGGCAGATGCAGGGGTAGCAGGGCTTGGGCCCTAAGGGATGATGTTGTTCTGCTACAGCCTGAATTTCCCTCTTGCAGGCCAGATGCAGTGGTTGATCCATGGCTTGTGGCCTTATGGGACAAGATCCTCGCTTTGTATCCTCTCCCTCCTGGCCTTGAGATCATCAGCCCAGACACACGGTGGGTGCAGAGGGTGGGCAGGGTGGGCCCCAGCAGGGACTGGCTGCTGTGCAATGCCACACTTCCTTGGCTGTTCTACAGAGTGGAGATGTGCTCTGCTTTGACCAGGAACCCTTCCCACACAGCTACTGGTGTCCCAAGTGTTCCTTGTTCTTTGGCCACTGGTGGCCCACTTCTCTCTGGATGGTGTGTCCCCTTGTCCCCCGCGGGTGTGTGTCAGCTGCCCCAGCCAGGTTGTGCCCATCTTGCCATCCTGATGTGCCTCTGCCCCTGGCAGAGTGTGTGCGCTCAGCCAGCCTCCCTCTGCCTGTTCTGGAGACTTTGGAATCTCCTGGCAGTCGGCATTGCATTCCCTTACAAAGCCAGCTCTGGGGAACAGGGATGATGGATGGTGGATGCAGTGGGAAACTCCAGGCCTCGCCCTGGAGCAGCAGAGGAGCTGTGGCATGGAGTAACCACTGCATTGCTCTCCTCTCCACAGCCTGCCCCCAAAATACACCCTGCACTACCTGCCTGAGGACTCCCCACCCCCTGAGAGTGCCCTTCTCCAGCCGACAGCGCCCAGGGCTGTTCCCTGCGAGCCCCATCCCTTCGCTGCCCCCGTGGTGTCCAACCAGCGGGTCACGGCACAGTCCCACTTCCAGGACGTCCGGCTCATGGAGTTCGACATCACGGGCTCGGCGATCACGTGAGCATTT